GCCCAACACAACACAGCAAACTCTACAGGAGGGCTGAACCCCCCAGCAGCAACGGGGAGATCGGGAGGTCAGGAGGGAGGGGGTGGGCAAACTAACTTCCTCTCTCCTTCACCTTTCTTTTAAAGGTGCAGGATACCAGAAACCCAAACTACAGGGTGACAGAGCTGAGAATGAGGCGCTCACTCAATCTCAAATCAGGTTGGGTGGGGATAGGCACAGGGGGAGCCTTGCTCGGTCCCGTTTAGAAGGAAAAAACCCAAGTAGGAGGTAAACATTTTTCTATATAAAAATGTTCTAGTAAACTAGCCTCAGAATTTGAAATCCTCCAAACATAAGACACAGAAAACTAAGAAATGCTTGTTTCCACAAGACAAGAGCAAATGTTTGGTGATGTGTGTGGTTAACTCATCTTCATCAAGGTCCATCAACAAAATGGCTTCTCAGAGCTTGTGATAGCCCAGCTCTGTCTCACCCCCAGAGTGAGCAGGCAAAAAGCCAAGCATCTAACAGTCCTATAACACAGGTCAGAGGGTGTTCTACATGCCAAACACCATATTAAGGGCTGATGAGTGGTAATGTGTACAATCCTAGCCAGCCTGTAAAGCAGACGTAATTATTACTCCTGCATCCCATGCTCCAGACAGGAAAGCTGAATGGCATGCTATGGTTTTGGAGAGCAAACTAGGATTTTGTGGTGTGTGCTCTAGAGCAGTGAGCGATGTAACAGTGGGCAGAATGGACACTTGTGAGGGGCTGAAACAAGACAGCCAGTGGTTAAGGGTCTAATTAGGACTGGGTAGCCAGGGACAACCTTTGGATGTAGCAGGGATAAGCAGAAACCCATGTGAGATAAGGACAGAGAGGTCATGTGCCCAGAAGCCCTTAAAAGTTGCACCTGTCACTGGTCCTGATTTCCAGTTCAGGGCTGGGCCTTGGCATCTACATTCCCCAGGAAGTGTCTCTTTCTGCAGTCCAGGGTTGAGAAGAACCATCCTTAAACAGTCCAGTGCTACCATCAAGAGAGGCCTGGACACTCATTGGTTCCTTCTATAAACTGAATGGGCTCCACGGCCACCATCCTTATGTTGGGGCCCTAACCCTCTCTTTGACAGTATTTGGAGGTGATGCCTTTGTGTATACGGGGTAGAAATTAGGGTTAAATGAGACCATGATGACGGGGGTCCTATGATGGGATTAGCATGATTATATGAAGGAGGAGGATAAGGGGCAGGAGGAAAAGGAGAGAAAGAGAAGGAGGAGGGGGGGAGAAGGAGGAAGCAGGAGAGAGGGGAGCTTAGTCATTTTTTCTCAGTACCATAGGAGCATGCAACAAAAAGTCAGCTCTAAGGCAGGCAGTGAGCCCTCACCAGACACCAGGGCAACCAGCAACTTGATCTGCAATTTCCCAACCTCCAGAACGGTGAGAAAGCATCTGGTTAGCCACCCAGCCTGGGGTATTTTGTTTGGGCAGCCAGGAGTAGTAACTAAGGGACTCAAGGTCTCCGTCACTCATTACTATTCCACAGAGTGCGTGCACACTCAGCCTCCTGCCTGCTGTAGTGCTTGCTCTGTACAGACCAGAGTCCTCAACCGATGGGTTATGACCCTTTTGGGGGTCAAATGGTCCTTTCACAAGGGTCACTAAGACCATTGGAAAACATAGATATTTACATTATGATTCATAACAGTAGCAAAATTGTAGTTATGAAGGAGCAACAAAAAGAATTTTATGGTTGGGGTCATCAACACATGAGAAACTGTATTAAAGGGTCGCAACATTAGGAAGGGTGAGAACCATTGGTATAGACTGTGAAAAGAAATATCTAAGGCCTGGAGGCCAAATCATGTCTTCAAATTTCTGAGGGAAAAATATGGATTTTCTATAGACATCATTGGCCATGATGAAGTAATTATTTTTATTTCCCTATGTGAAAAATAAATAAACAAATACTTAGGAAAATTACTATGTTAAACCAAGTCTAACTTTTTATTAAACACTCACATGTGATTTTTCAGTGCTGGGACCATCAAAGGCAGAGCCTTGTGCATGACAGGCAAATGTCCCACCACTAAGCCATGACTCCAGTCTAACATTCAAATACTGATCAAGCATCTACCTGCAAGTGTCCAACACGCACTCTAGGGCATGCTCACTGGCTTCTGGTGTACACATGACTCACTGAGGACCTTGTTAGAGTGTGTATTCTGATCTAGTAGGAGAGAGGGTGAGATGGTATTCCTAGCAGGCTCCTGGTGATGCCCCTACCATGAACCTCTAGGCCCCAGCCTTTGCAGCACCAACTCTGACTTCCCCTTGGAAACACCTATCACACTCTTGAAAAGGATGGACTCCGTCACACTCCTGAGCTTCTAACCTGGAACCCCAGCCCACCTTTATCAGAACAGCAGCCCAGAATGAGAGCCTTGGGTGAGCATCTACCTGCTCCCCAGGTGTCCAGCCATGCTGACCAATAAGTGCTCAGCCACACCACCCCCTATGTGCTCAGGCATACAGCCTCTCAGGTTCCCGGTGACACAAGAGCACAGCCACACTGACTCCCAGGTGGAGCTTGGAGAAGTAGCTTTGTTTGCTCACTCTAGATGTTTAGCTTGTGCTGAGGCCCAAGACAATCCAGAGCCCAATACTCATCTGGCCCAAATAGTTGGCTTAGGGTTATTATATGGGCAAGTCAGGAGAATATGTCTCAGGGTTCAGATATACTCTTTGCAACATTCAGAGCCTGCAAGGACCTTAGAGTAGTCTTTTGGTGACCATCTTCCCATGCTAGAACACAATTGAGTCCAGAGACTGGGGGAAGCTGAGTTATAGATACTTTCTAACCTCTGACCCCACTCCAGTTACCAATCAAAAGATTTGTGCCATTACCAGTGTGTGTGTGTGTGTGTGTGTGTGTGTGTGCCTCCTACTTGTGGATCAAGATGTGAGCTCTCAGTTGTTCCTAATACCATGTCTTTGCTCCACCATGGACTCTTTGAAACTCTACACTCAATTAAACAGTTTTTTTTTATAAGTTGCCCTGGTCATGGCGTTTTACCAGAGCAATGGAAAAGTAACTAAGACAGCACCAGAAGCCAGGTAACCCAGAGATGAGATCTTTAGAAGCCACTAAACTGGCCTTTATGTGCCCATCTTTAAAAAAAAAATACCATGGAGCTGCATGAAGACTGCTCCAAATGTGTTTTCACTGAATCATCTCATTCACTGAGACCTTTCCATGTGCGAGGCCCCACTATGGATAGAGTCAGTATAAAGTATAATCCGAGCGTTAATTATTGCCAAAGACATGGGTGGTTTCTGGCAGTTCCCTCTCCACAAGCCAAGGCTAGCCCTTCCTGTGAGATACAATACACTGCTTGAAAGTCCATGCAATGCTTTTTTGACCAGACGAAAATACAGGGACCACGATAGAGCTGAAGGAAACTCTAGCATTAGAAGTGGGGCCCTGTCTAATTCAAGATGCCAATTCTAGAATGTCAGGTCCCTGGGATGACAGAAGGGATCCAGTATTACTTGTCCCTGGCCTTACACGTGTTCATGATTGAGTAAACCCCTTGGCAGGAACCAGGGGAGTACCCAAACTAAGAAGAGTGTTGGGAATGTTAATGGCAGCATGGTACCACTGTCTAGAAGGTCACCATGATGGGTGAGATGATTCAGGAATGGATGTCCAGGCTCAATGGGAATTACAGTGCTGCTCTGAAAGTCTTCACTATTCCTCCACACTCCAAAGTCCTTCTAGAAGACCTCTGGGGAAAGAGAAGTCCATTGTGTTGATCTCTAAGCAAGAAAGCTTAGAGAGATGACAGAAGCCATCCTAAGCACATGGAGCCCAAGACACAGTCTAGGCACACAGACCCAGGTTCCAAAGCCAGCTTTGGTGCCATTGAGTTGTGTGACTTTGAGCAACTCGTGTCTCTACCACAGACTTTTCCTAACCTAGAGAAGACACTGCCTTACTGAAGCCAACCTCAGAAGCCTGGCACTCTGCATCCAAGCCCACTCCTTTGCTGTGTGTGTGTGTATGTGTGTGTGTGTGTGTGTGTGTGTGTGCGCGCGCCATCTCCTACACACAGCCCTCTGTAGAGCTTCACCAGATTCTCCAACAACCCAGAACAGGCAAGCACTATTCAGTCTACTTTACAGGTTAGAAATCCCCGAAAATTATGTGATTTTTCCCAGCAACTCAGTGGAAAACCCATCTACAACAAAATCTTCTATTTCCTTCAGGACTTTTGAATTCTTCACCCTAATGTATTCTCTTCACAAAGACCCCCAAGAGATTGATCCAGAGTGAATGCCCTAGACCTGCTCTATGAGAGGTCTGGGCAGCTTTCGCATGCCTACTGCTGGCACTTTAACTCTCTACTCCTGAGAATCTTTGTGCTGTTTTAAGTGAAGCCTGCCTGAAGCAGAATAGACCAGATGTTACCCCTGGGAACCTACCACCCCAGATACCCCAGAAAAGAACATTAAAACTGCTTCCCAGGATAAGCAAAACCCAACGACCTGAGGACTTCCATTAGAGAAGGGCTCAGCAACCAACCCAGAGCTCTCCCTTTCGGTGGACTGGGGCACCCCCACCCTGGTAGGTCATCTCACAAAGATACCCGCCACAAGCTATGGATTCATTTTCCCAAGGGGGTCATCAAATGCACACAGTGAGCCAAGTGGGGAACAAAGACACCAGGGCAAAGCCAAAGAATCAAAAGAGCAGGGGAAATACATTGCCTTTAGAACAAAAGATAACATTTTTAGACTCTTGAGTGTGACCTTCGTAGCTGCTGGATAAGGAAAGCTCTTGTGTTGCTTAGCAGCGTGGCTGACGAATGTCTATAGGTTTCATCTCAACACCATGCAGCTCCCCTTTCTCACTCAGGTTCCTAAGATGGCCTTTCCCAGCATTAACTGGGTCTGTCCACATAAGCATCAAATCCAGGCTGGGTTAAATGCCTGCGGGAGAGGGGAGACTACATCTTACCAGGATCTGTGCAGTTCTTAGCCGGCGGAGTTCCATTTATCGGTGCCATCAACTTTCTATTTCGCCACGTGTCTGGCAGAACACGTTTGCTGGCAGAAGCTGTTTTGTGGCCTGGATTGGAAAAAAAAACAAGTCACAGATACCATCAGGTCAACATGATTCTTGAGTTCTCAAAAATGACCTTACACCTGTCCATATAGCTAGGTCAGCCACAGTCACGGGCTATTTATTTTATTTTTTTTAATTATATGTATTTGTTTGTATGGGGGGGGGGGAGGACTAAGTGCACTCGAGTTCAGATGTCCACAGAGGCCAGAAAAGTCAGATCTGCTTATAGCTGGAGTTACAGGTGGTTGTGAGCCGCCTCACTGGGGGTGCTGGGAATTGGCCTCAGGTCTTCAGGAAGAGCAGTACATGCTCTCAACTGCTGAGCCATTCTCCAGCCTGAGATTTGGCTGTTTAGAACCACCTGTAGAGAGTGATTCGGTGATTGCCAGTATGCTATCACCTGCTTACATGTAGTATTCTGTTTCCTGAATCTAATCCATTGTTTCTAGTTTCACATGGGTCATTGTGTGATCTGACCTTGGACAAGATTGAGCTGGTCTCAGCTCCCTCCATCCACCCCCACCAACAAAGGATTTCATTAGGAGCATTAAATACTTTCTCAGTAAATTTGCTCAAGGTGGTTCCTATGACTGGATGGTTAAATTTGTGGGCTCAGCTAGCTGATGGTAGGTGGCCAGGTGTGCACACACATCACCTGGGGATCTGGTCAAAATACAACTCTGATTTAGTAGGTTCAAGGTGGAGATTGAGAGTCTGTAGTGGCAAGCTCCCAGGTCATCGTGCTGTGGTCCAGGGGCCACACAGAGCCATATCAGAGAAGGCATGGATGCCTCTGAGCAGAGATAGTTAAATACCCAAAGTTAACTCCTGATCTAGCAAATAAAAATAGCTATGGCTTCAGACTGCACCCTAAGTATCCATTTACCTTATCCGGATGCCCACTGTTTCAGTTGGGTAGCAATGCCTCCTCCAGAATGCCTACACCTCACAGCCTAGACATTTTGTTATTTCTTGTGTTTCATTGTCCAGTTGTAAAACACTGGGTATTGAGGTGTTAAAAATAAACTTCCTTTAGCCACCCTTTAGTCCTCTATTTCCAAATCACAGTTTGGGTGTTGAAAGATAGTGGTGTCTTTTTCTTTTTAAAGTTTAATCGGGTTTCCCTTGCTTTTCTCTTCACTGCACAGGTCTCTAAATGGTCCCAAGACGCTATGTTAATGAGCTTTCTACCCACTCAAAAAGGTGCCCTCAGGTCTCCACTGTGCCTCTGCTTTGGCCGCTAAGTTGGCAACATTGATTTTACATGGAGGGAACCCCGAAAGGTTCACAGCACCCAGTTCTGAAATATCTAGGCAGTAAATGTTCTTTAAAGACTAAACAGGAGCCCCAATGCCCCCGAAATAAATATTTCATAAGTTTCTTCTCTTCCCCACTCCGCCTGAAATTTGCATATCTTAACAGACTCCCAGGTTGCCTTCTGCTTGGAGGAGTGTAGATCAGGGCTCTGCAAGCCAGTCCTCCCTTTCGGTGGGATTTAAGCGGAGTTGAGAGAAGCGATGCTGGAACATGGCAGCAATCTCCCACGGGAACTGCCTCTCTCTGTTTAGGATTCGAGGAGGACGCGTCAGGAAACCCAGGCTACCCATGTGGATCAGGGGAAAGCTGAGACCTAACCGGAGAATCTGAGTCTCTGGGGGGCTGAGCACAACCTTTACATCTATGCAGAACAGGAAAGTGGACTGCTCAGTTTCACACACCCAAAAGCAAGAGAATCTACCCCTGGGCCGCCCTGAGTTGCCCATTGCCCGCACACTAGAGGGAGAGGTGGTGTAGGCTTCGGTCCCAGCAACACACACCTACAGCCGCGTCCCGAACCCCAGGGAGCTTGAGCAGCTTAGCGGAACCGGCGCCACAGTCCAGCGCCTCCTGGGTGAGCACTACCCCACCCCCCACCCCGGGCGGGGAGGGTAAACCCTGGGGACCAATCTGACTGGGAAGGAGCTGGAGCTGTCCTGAGGCTTTCCAGCTCAGGGCCCCCAACTCCCGGGGTGAAGAATATCCTTCCCCGCACCTACCCAAGCTTCCGAAGAGGCTGCACGCACAGCACACCAGAGCCAGCACAGCGCACACGAAGCCAACTTGCTGCGGCAGCATCTCTCGCCTCCTGCGAACTTTGCGCGGCCGGAGGGGTCCGCGGAGCGCCATCTCAGTGCGCCCGGCGTCCCTGGGAGAAGATCCCGAGTTTGAATGGTCAGAGCGCTGTCGGTGGTCCAGCGGCGCTGGGGCTGCAGCGGGATGATGAGCAGCTCAGAAGCAAGGGGCTCCAGGCGATAGCGTCATAGTCCGCGAGCAAGGCAGGCGCGGGAAGCTCGGATGGGGATACCGGTGGAGGAGGCGCACTGCACGGCCGGAGCTCAGAGTTCCGTGCAGGGTGTGCGCGCTACGCGCACCATGACTCCGTGGCGAGGAGACGATGCCTGCACGGTGGCGCTGGCGGCCTTGGCTGGTAGGTTTGGCGCAGTCCGGGCGCTTGGAGTCACTACCTGCCTACTGCGCCTCGGCGCGCTGGAGCCCGCCGGGAGCGATCAGAGCTTGGTGAGCGCCCCCGCGCCCTGCGCCGCCGCGCCCACTCGCAGCATCCTCCTTGTCCAAGTTTAGTCGCGGCCGCCCCGGCTGCCCGCCCGCGAGGCTCCACTGTTTCTCGGAAGGCAGTCAAGTGCGTGCAGGCAAACGGCGCGCTACACACGCGGGACTCGAGACCGTCTCGCCAGCCGCAGCAGCTTGGGCCCTCCCGCGGGTCAACTGTCCCCGGGAACTTTCTCTCTGGCTCTTCGGCGGCCGGCGCCTGCGTCTGCGAGGCCGTGGCGCCTCCCGCAAGCTGCTCTCGCCTCCCTACTCCTCCCCTCCTGTCCGCCCGCCCGCCTGCCTCTCACCCTCCCTCTCCTGCACGTGTACACCTCCCCTAGGGCGCTCTCCCCTTGCGGTTCTCTCTTTCCCAGGGGAAGGCCCAAGCGCTGACCAATATAATCCCCTTTCCTTGACCCCCCTTTTCTCTCTCTCTGACCCTGGGGAGCCGAAATGAGTCCTCAGCATCTGCAGGGAGGAACAGGTTACGGCATTGCCACCGACTCTCAAAGCCAGGGTTTCTATAGCGCTCTCGCTCGGTCCCGGCTCCCCACGAGTCCCCCGAGCGACCCAGGCGGTCACCACCACCACCCCTAGGTCGCTACTGCACAAGCAGCTTAATTGCTCGCTCAGCGCTAACAAACAGGCTTGCACCAAGCCAACCGATGCCCGCCGGGACCGGTTTCTGCAGGGCTCTCCGGGCTAACTAGGGACCTGTGTAGCGGGGGCGCAACACCGACCTACGAAACGCTGGTAATCTGGCAAAGGGAGAAACCTGGCATTTCTGAGGCTCCACCCCCAACAGTTGGGAGCTTTTGATGTTTTGCAACTTTAAGGCTTCTCAGGACTTTCTGGTTTGGGTTTATTTGCCCACCTCTCTTCCTTTGGCTCTCTAATGTAAACCGCGTTTAAAATGTGACGGGAGTGAAATTTCCAAAGAGCAATCGAAGGTATCCTCCAGGTGCAGATAAAAGGGGACCTTTATCGGGAAGGATCTCTAACTCAGACTTCTTCCCTGTCGGTTTTATCCCGTGGTGATCTAGGGCCTACTAGGGGTTAAGTCTACTTAAAATCATGTTTGGATCAAAGCCAACTTTGTTTAATTAAATAAATACATGCCCACCATGTGTGGGCTCCGTGCCAAGTGCCAGCCAGCCAAGAAACAAAACAAAACAACAACAACAAAAATGTGTATTAAGACCCAGTATCTGCTTTCAAGGAACCCTGAATCAAAAGGGGCCGGTCCCTCAGATGCATGGCTGCTAAGTGGGATTCTGGAAGTCAGTGTTTTGCATAGAGAGCCTGCATTCCCTTGCTGCTCATTAGGCCGCAGTGTGGTCCACAGCAGCCAAGGCATTGCCTGGGAGCTTAGGAGACTTGCAGGCAGCACAGCTCCACCCTAGACCTACTGAGGAACAATGTGAATTTTAAACCAGATCCCTGGAGACCTTGGGCACAGTCAAGTGTGAGGAGTTTCCTTCTGGGGACTGTCCCAAAACGCCTCCATCAGTTGGCCACCACTTGCAAGGTTCCTTTGTACTTCATAGACAAGGCCATTTTACATTTGTTAGCCAAGCAAAGGGACACAGGAGAGAGGTACCTAGTAGCTGGGGCTGTGGTCCGGGAGCGAGGAGGAGGAAATCACCGTTTTCAGTAGCTTCGTTTCTACATTGTCCAATATGGTCAGGAGAATGGGTGAGCGCACCGCCTTTAATCCCAGCACTCGGGAGGCAGAGGCAGGCGGATCTCTGTGAGTTCGAGGCCAGCCTGGTCTACAAAGCGAGTTCCAGGAAAGGTGCAAAGCTGCACAGAGAAACCCTGTCTCGAAAAACCAAAAAAAAAAAAAACAAAAAAAAAAAGAGTTTATTAACTATAGAAAAAACCCAAAGTGAAAGGACAAAAAGCAGGCAGGCAGGTAAGTAAATAGCAGAACATTACCAAATATGGGGATTACAAACACCCAGCAGAAGGGACCCGGGAAGGTGAGGCAGTTCGCTGCAGGTCTCAGTTGAGCTTTATCTTCGTGGATGAGCTTCCCACCACTGAACTTCTGGCTCTTGGTTCCCACTGCAGGCTTTTTTTTTTTTAATCATGGGGTAAACAATAGTAATATCCGTTGGAAAAGCTTTACCTTCTAGTTGCTCTCAAGGACACAATGTTTTTATTCTTGGACGTTTTACTGTTTCCCCCCCTCTCCCAATCACAGAGATGGAGGAGGGCAGCCCATCCCCAGACAAGGGATCTTGAGACACAAACATGATAGGGTCTGAAGCTGGGAATGACAGCCTCATTTCCAACTTCTCAGAGAACTCAAACAACATGGAATAATTTGCCAATATAACAGACATTACAAAGACACTACAAGTGTGGACACAAAACTAATCCACGAGTGGAAAGCCTAGAGGGTATGAAACAGAAAGAGCAGAAGTGGGTCTTGTGTAGAACCTTCCAGAATTCTGTCTAGTCTGTAGTGGTGTCTCACCACTGAGGCTCATTCTCCAGTTCGGTGCTAGCTACCAAGCGTGAACACTAGTTATTGAAAAGTTACTTTCCACAGATCTTCAGAATTTCCTCCTTACTGAATAGACTAGACAAGGATGAATTCATCAATACCAAAGGGAAGAAGAAACTGTTAAATATGCTTCTTCGAAAGCGGCTTGGCCAGGGCCCTTGATACCCAGTTTAAGACAGAGGAAAGAACTGACATGATAATACACCTATGTCTGATATCCAAGACGGCATTCAGGTGACATTAGATAAAGCAACAGTAGCAAAAACAAAAACAAACAAACCCAGGGGCTTGTTTCTGAGACTTAATACTTGAAACTTGCATCCATGAAGATGACGAAGGGCTAATGAAAACAAAGTTTTGGGTCCGGGTCAGGTCAAAGGAGTCATCAGTTTCCACCTGGAAACATTCAACCAGCCCTGGAGTAGAACACTTCTTCTCTTAGACGTTTTTTTCAACTGCTCTCAGTTAATAGTTAGAATCCTTGGAATGATCTCACATGCACAAATGGATTCCTTTTATTTGACAGTTTAAAAAGCAATTCGTTTGAAATTGTACTTTTTTTTGGCTTCATTTAAATAGTGCCCATTACCAAATAGCCTCAGCAACAGCACTAATGACTCAGCTTGCAGAATAGAGAATTGGATATTATGTACCTTTCAAATTCAAAGCATTCAAGAGCATTTCCTAAATCAGCTAGGCCACAGGCACAAATGGAAAGTACTTTCCTGGGTTTATCTTGAGCCCTGGCATCAATGCCACTGGACTCCGAGTGTCTCTTTCTGCAATTGTACATTTGCAGTAGATGTCCACACAGCCAGACAGTTTTTTAGCTCTCTAGACCAGGTGGCTCAGTCGGTGGGCGATGGGTACAGTGCTGTTTTTCCTTTAGAACCCATTTCCATCACATAATAAATACTGTTATTTCATTACTTGGGTTTTGAAAGTTTGCTAGAATGACCTTCTCTGTGACTTCTCTAAATTTATTTTTTTGGGGGAGACATATGCATGTGTGCACCGGGGTACATTGATAGGCCAGAGGTTCACACTGGTTTCTTCTTCTGTTACTTTCCACTTGCTTTGTTTTTAGACAGAGTTGAGATCTCACTGAACCTAGAGCTTACCACTTTGAGCTAGACTGATTGGCCAGTGAGTGTCGGGGATCCAGTTGTCTCCTGCCCCTTCCTACCTCTGGCACTGGAGTTACAGCTGCATGCCACCACACCTGACTTTTATGTGGCTCACGGGTGCTGTGGATTTGAACTCGGACCCACATGCTTGTACAATAAGCACTTTACCCACTGAGCCACCCTCCCACCTTCCTCTGTGAGTCCTAATTCCTCCCCTGTAAGATGACTGATTTAGTCTGCCTTGGCCAGGCAGTGGTTCTCAAACTTTCTTGTGCCTCAGCATCCCTGCCCCCCAGAAGGTTTGTTAAAACCTACCCTGCTGAGCCGTACCCTGGTTTCTGCTTCAATCATCCCGGGCAAGGCCTGAGTATTTGTATTTCTAGCACCTTTCTAAGTAAAACAAATGCTACCTGTCCTGGGCTCACACTTAGGGAACCGAGGGGCCAGATTACACCATATGAATAAGGACAAATAAAGCAAACAACCAAAGTTTCTTTTTAGCTCCTGTCTGTGAGGGGCAGTGTATCAAGGGGTGGGGCCACACAGGTGCCGGGGAGCAGCCACAGCAGCAAAGATTGCTGCCTGTCCATGCCAAAAGGGAAAAGGGACCTGCAGGCTCCTGTGCTGGCTACAGAAGTTATACCCTGGAGGTGGCCTGTTGACCAAGGCTTACCACTTTCTGGCCTGGTCTCACCAAGCTGAGGGGACTTCTAAAAGTGCCATGGGAGCTGCGGGACTCCAGCTCTGAAGTAGACCATCCAGGGACATCTGCATCGGGGTAGACCTTCCCCTGTTCCTTGCCTTCTGAGACTTCCTGCCTGCCCTTCCTCCCCCTGCCGAAGTTGGTTCCACTTTGTTCCAAAGACCCCGGTATACATCTCTACTGTGGCATGTCTGTCACACAGTTCAGTCTCCTCCTGGTGAGTGAGGGACTCCGTCCAGGGCTTGCTATCTTATCTGCAGTTTGTGGTGTCCAGCCCACGAGGTGCTTAATAAAGCTCTTACAGAACAGGAAAACACAGTTGTGACTATGCACAGGGGAGATAAAGAGTGTTTCCCTGTCAGCCACTGTCACTTCAGCTCCAGCCCAGATTTCTACCTACCTTCACAGTCAAGGTCATCAGGGACTTGTGGCTCCGTCTCAATGCCCTTGGACACTCCTGCTTGGCCCCTTCTTACAATAGTCACACCATTAACTTACTTGACAGTGCTGCTTCCCGTAAATGAAGATATGCAGTTGTTAAGTACTTTGTAAATTTGCCCCTCAGGTTCTTGTGATTTCAATGCAGAAGTAATCAATACCTGTGCTCGCTGTTCATTCAGAAGACACTGCCTGGACACCTAATAGCAGAGCACTTTACACTTACATACTTTCTACATCATAACCTAAAATATATAACCAAAAGGAGTGACAGACCACCACAATGAGTTCAGCACCAGAGTGCCAAATAGAACATGCAGCCAGACCAGGGGATAGTACAGTGGGTAAGTGCTGCTTAGGCATGAAGATGTGGATCCCCAGGGCCTATGTAAAGCCATCTGTAACCCCAATGTCCCTAGGATGAGATGGGAGGTGGAGACAGGAGAATCCCCAGAAGCCTGCAGGCCAGCTAGTCTGGCTTATATAATGATGATCAACAAATGACCCTGTTCCAAACAAGGTGGGTGGGGCTGGGGAGATGATGCAGTGGTTAAGAGCACTGGCTACTCTGCCAGAGGACCCAAGTTCAGTTCCCAGCACTCAAATTAGACAGCTTCTGTCTTCTGGCCTCTAAGGATGTGCAGACACACACACACACACACACACACACACACACACACACACACACACACACACACAGAGAGAGAGAGAGAGAGAGAGAGAGAGAGAGAGAGAGAGAGAGAGAGAGAGAGAGAGAGAATGAATGAGAATCATAAAAACGTAAAACAGATGGAAGGCAAGGACTAAGATGTCTTCTGGCCTCCACATGCATACCATAGCATTCATGTACCTAAACTCACACACACAAACACATATATCACACACAACAGGAAAATGACAATATAATACTCTTTTAAGAACAGCCGGGTTTGGAAGTCCAGGCTCCTCATTGCCACTCAGGGCTCCTAGTCCCTTCTACATTGTGGCTCTGCCATCCCCTTGGACATTTCATCTACAGGATCACAGCTGACTCATCACCACACCTGGGTTGTGTCAATAGGTGTGGAGGAGAGCAGGACAGAGGAATACCCAGTGTCATAAATCCCAGACACCTCTCATATTCCACTGGTGGACACTCGGTCACATGCCCATGCTTATCAAAGGAAGACTGGAAAAAGTCTAACTGAGCAGCTTGGCACAGGGAGACTTCTGTTAAGTGGACCATCACCCACCTCCACTCAAGATAGGGAATTATGATCAAGTGACATGTCCAGACTTGAGCTTCCAACCTCAGATGACCCTCCACTCACTGGTCCTCTGCTCACCCCTCTCCTGTCACCCAAGGCAGGGAGAAGATCTCAGGCCCAGTGACGAGAGCTGTTTGGCAAGGCATTTGGCTCCAATTTAGACCCCCGATAATGCTGTGCGACTGCCTGCTTCTTGCTCAGTACAAGCTGTGACATGGCACAAAAGCCCGACTTTCCTTTATAAGCATCAGTACCCTGTACAGCCAAAAGCGAAGGAGGCTTGGGGGTTTGACCTTTAGCCAACACACTCTCATGTTTTCATATTTCTTCATTTATTTGTTACAGTTCGAGAATCAAAAGCCTTGCCTCTCTGCCTGTCTGAAAGAGCCTTAATACATGGGTGAGAAGGGCGATGTTATGGTGGAGAATGAAGGCACAGGAAAGAGGGGCAGAGAGAGTGTTGGGGGGCTTTACACCTGGGGAAAAGTCTGCCTGTGGGAATTATTAGACGAAGTGAGGATACAGGAATGATGCAGCTCCACCTCAGATCAGGCATCCGTTAGGCAGTCACTCCCCTCCAGAGCTAGTACCATGTGCTGAGTCTCCCTCTGGCCCCCTGTTTTGCAGGGACATGTGTCTATTCTGAGTTTTAATGAGGAAACGTTTCCATTTTCCCCATTCTGGGGCCCCCAGGTGGGCATTCCTGCTCATTCCCACTCTGAGGATAAGCAAGCTAGGAAGGCAGGGGGCCAATAAGACTCTG